CCCAGGTTTTTCTCAAACGTCCGCTTTTGAGATTATAATTGCCTATGGTTCTCTCCCCGATCCTGCGGAGATGGTAATTCCCACCAAGATTTTCTCAAATTGCTGTTGAGGTTAAAGTCATCCAAGGTTCTCTCACTATTCCTGTTGAGGTAGTAACCATCCCTGGTTCATGCATCACTATTCGAAACTCCAGATTCAGCTCCTGTAACCAGTCAGGACACATCTATACCAAGCATCTGAAAACCAGCTCCTGCAACATGTCAGGTACTCTTTTTTTCTTTTGCAGGTACGCAAGTTCTCGCTAAGGAATCTCTTATGCGATCAATATCCAGATGGCATCTATAAGCCCATCACCCTATTCATCAATCTCCAAATGGCATCTATAAGCCCATTTCCATCACACTGCTACTATGTGAGCGCAAATTTCTGGGCACTCTAGTGTTCAATCATCTTCTACCCTCGGATTACGAAAGGCACGTCAGCCAATCTGCATCCTCAGGTCTAAGAAGATTGAACAGGGGCAACTGTTGTACCCCAAAATTTTCCCTCCCATATTCTTCAAGAAATTGCCAAGTCATGCTTCAAAATTCCCCAAGGGTTGCACAGTGTAAGAGCCTCCTAAGACAGTCAAGATTAGGGTTTTGATTCTGATCAAGAAAATGAAGTTTTCAAGGGTCCAATAAAGTCTCACATGCCTACAAATATGGTCAAGCATCCTCATATCAAGTTTCAAGACTTTCAGCACAAAATTGCACAGTCAAAACCCTAATTGCACTACAGTCAACTGTAGGGGCAAAATGGTCATTTGACAGTCAAAAGTTCAAATTTTTGGTCAACATCTCATTTTGAAGCCACAAACATAATTTGATCAATGCTTGATCATGATTCTCAAAGCTTGGCTCAAAAATCATCAAGATGCAAAAGTTTCCTTATTTGGACAGTTGAAAAAGTCAACTGTAAATTGACCAGGGCATAACTTTCACATGGATTATCAGAAAAATTACATCTAAAGCTCATTTTGAAGAGAAATACATTTCCTACAACTCATATTCATACTCCAAGTAAAATAAATGCTCTCACAAAAAGTTATCAATTTCAACATTACAGGTCATTTTCAAAAGTCAACAAAAAGGGACTTTAAGTCAAAGGCCATAACTTGATATTGGTAAATCAAAATGACATGGGACCAAAGACATTGGTTAGAGGACTCAAATACCTTTCCAAAATGTCCAAGAACATGAGCAAAGCTTAAAAATTGAGCAAGTTATGCCTTGTGGAAGTTGGGAAATTTTTGGATATTTTGAAAAGTCAACATTGCTTCAAATGACTTAAAATTGCTAATGGGCCTATTTTTCTTCCACAATTCATCATCCAAGACATGTGCACGACCACTTGGCCCAAAGGGAAGTTTTTATTCATTTTTTATTTATTTATTTGAATTTTTATTAATAATAATTCATTTAAATCAATTAAATACATGGAAAATATCTAACCTAAGTTTTTCAATCTTTTTGTGCATGAAATATACTCAATAATTCGTGCATGATCAGATTTGGAAGGAATTGAATTGATTGGATATGATTGAGAGCAAAAGTGCATGAAAAATATTGAAAAAAAGATCTTTGAAAATCAAATCTCAAAAACCATGAATGCAAAGGATTTGGATTGGTTTTTTTGACCTAATTCATTGATACTTATACAAGGAAGCAAGACCTAATGAAAAGGACCACTAAGCTGCGCAGAAAACACCATTGGCAAACTTGAAAATTATCAAAAAAAACTCAATTCTGAAAACACTTTTGCAGGGCGATTCAAGACCAAATAGTGATTCCATTAGCTTCCTTGAGGATTATAGAACGTGTTCCAATCAAAATCGATCATCCCCACGCCCAAAATTGGTATACAGAAATCCAGTTTTCTCATATTTTTTTCAAAATCGTATTTCAAGATTTAGACGTTTTCATGGCATTTTGATTGTGTATTTATACTGAGTAATGTATTCTGAAGCTAACCATGTAAATTAATTGTGTTTTTGAGTGTTGTACACGATTCCACCATTGTCATCGTTTAGGGTTTTTCAAGCTGAAATTTGGGGCTTTCTGTTCAAAGAAAAATTGAGACTCGAGACCTGGACCGTTCGACTCAGTGCTCTTAGACGAAAACAATGGCATACTCGCGCCTAATTTATGAGGCCACATGGCCTAATCGTTATTTTCTGTAATGGTGTCTTAGGGAACGGGTTAAAACCGTTGCGTATTGTTTTGATGTTTCAGGAAATAAATCAACGAGGAAGAAGAAGACCCTGTGGCATTATCTGAGTGGCTGATTTAAAAATTCGCGCCAAGTTACCCACTAACACGCGTTTTATTTTATATTGTTTATTGGTTATTTCATAAACAACATGCGCATACAGCTCCATAGGCCAAAAGACACACTGGTAACCCCTGGGACCTGGGTTCGAGCCCCAGGTCCCCACCCCCTTTCATATTTTTCTTCAATTAATAATTACATGCAGATTCAGCCTAAAGGAGCACCATGCGTCCATCACATCTGACCATCCACGCGTCCAGCTTCATCAATCCAAAGGCATAGATTTGGAGAACACGATGCACTCTAGTCAATGCATACACACGCTAGTGCCAGAGTCAACGAGGCCAGGCTTGTTTGGGCTCAAAGTTGATGGGCCTAACCTCCATATTAAGGGGCAGACCCCCTAGGTTTGCAAAATTTATATTTTCTTTATTGTTTTCTTTTTTTATTATTTATACTTTCTTTTAATTATTGTTTATTAATTACTTTCATAAAATATAAATAATATATAAAAAACATCAAAAAATCAGAAAAGCCAAGAAAAAATAATAAATATTTTTATTTTAAGTACTTTTGTAAATAAATTGCATATAATTAAATTTAGTTATTAAATTAGGTTTAATAGTAATGTTTTCATAATTAATTTAAAATTTGTAGAACTAGGGTTTATGATAATTTTTCTCTCATAATAATTAAATAATTAAATATTTATTTTTTATAATTAAATTGCATGTAAATTAATTAGGGTTAATTTTAGGTTAAACTTTAATCTTTTCTTAATAAATTAAAAACAACTAGAATTAGGTTTAATTTTAATTAATTCTTTTCCCATTAAAATACCAAAAAAAACCAAAAAAAAACAATTCTTTTCTTAATTAATTAATCATTTAATTTAACTTTGCAAAAAGGGTCCAACGCCCTCGTTTAATTCTTATTCAATTCGCATGTCTATTTTATTTCTTATAATTTTTATGTATCTCTCCCAAAGCCGTGTAACTAATTGCTCGCACTTTATTTTCTTTACTTTCTTTATTTTTATGTCAAATCGGGTTCAAGAAATTTTGGCGATGTGGACCCGCGCCTTTTGTAATAGCTTTAGACTTTTACTTTTCTCGCATTTTTAATTGTTAATCAAGGCATGAAAGAATGTATGGACAAAAATAAAAACAAACGCTAGATCACCAATAACATGACAAAAGACAAAAATACATGAAAACGACACACAAATCACACACCACCCCTAGGGTACGCCTCACTGTTGCCTTGCCTCGAAAGGTGATCGTCGAGTAGAGGATGTCTTAGTAAGTCCTCATGATCCGGGAACCTGACATGAGGGTAGCTTCTAAGGTGTCTTCCCATTGCTCTGGTGATCACCATGTCTTATTATTAATACACCTATAAGGGGAAATGCTTGACAAAACTTAGGATCTTTTGTTTTGCGTTTTAAAAGAGATTTATATGTTTTCCATTTCCAACCATCATTCATTTTTCATTTTCCTTTTTACCTTGTATTTATAAATTCAATCATATTTATTCATTCCTTTTTTCGTTGAGTTTATTTTATATTACTCCGCTTACCCTTTAAACCAATATTTATAAAGCTAAATTATTTTGTAAAACTACGTTATATTGTGATGAAATTTTTCGTAGATTAACATAAACATCAACTAATTTTAGAAATAAGATATTATATTTTTCGTTCAATCAATTATTTCAACAAATGAGCGTGCCCGACCAGTACTCGTGCGAACGCACGGGTATCCCACTAATTTTATATTGAAAGACTAGAATATTTAAAATATAAAAAAAAAACATATATTTTTTTAATAAATAATTTGATTTAATTTTGAAATCATTAAAATAATTACATCATGGCCATAAACCACTATAAATTAAACAGATAATTTTTCTACAATCTTTAATATAAAATCATAGTGATAAAACACTCTCAGTCTTCAATCGACCACTTCAATTCACATGTTTATGCCACTGGATTTGTCGGTATTTGTTTCCATTTCTTGCATTTCAGTTTTACTGTTTATGTTTGTTTTTATGATAAGAGACTTGAAGATTTTGAGTTAAATTTGTTTTGAACATTGAGGAAGGAGAATAAACTGGTTATTTGTCACTGTGTTTTGTGATTGTTACTTGTTGCCCAAGCTGTAATATATTTTTGGTTAATCTTTCAAGCTCTATGTATCTTGTAAAGGTTTAACATTCAAAAATGCAAGTTGTTTGGATACTTAAATCATTACTTAGAACATATTTACATGACATATATTATTGTACAAGTCAATTAAATAACCTTCAAATTGAACAAATTAGAAATGTTGTATCTTACAGATATTTGTGAGTACTGAGAATGTAGAATGGAAGAGAATAATTATACATGCAGATGAAAACAAAGATCCTGAGAATGTAGAATGGAAGAGAATAATTATACATGCAGATGAAAACAAATATCCTGAGAATGTAGAGCTTCTTGCTAGCAATCATTTCCTCCAACATTATCAACCATTGGTGCTTATGCTGAATCCTCAACCTACTGAAACCCCAAATCATATCCTGCAAATAAAGCAGATGTTACTCAAAATTTATCCTAAAATATACACAAAATTTAAAGAAAACTAGAAATGCTTTTAGAATGTAAACAGACCCTAACATGTTTACCTTCAAGTTTGATGCCTATATTAATGTTTTCCAATAGAAATTCGCTTGATGCGGCCAATCATGGGCCAGTACTCTCCAGATGGGGGCCGTAATTTTTGGCACAACTCAGGACAACGATAAATGCGGAGTTCTTCAAGTGCAGTGAGACGATGCATGTCACTTGGAAGGCTCAAAAGTTTGGGACATAGATCAATATATAGGCTTTTGAGATGAGTCATTAATGTTGGAAACTCAGGAAGCATCTTGAGATTTGGAAACTTTCGAATTTTCAAGGTTTCTAAAGTCTCTGCTGCATCTTCAATCCATCTAGGCAGTTTCAAAAGTTGTGGAAAACTCTTAAGATGCAGATGTTTCAACCTCAATCTCTGCCTCCGGATTGGGCCTTCATAGTTCAACGACAGACTGAACATCGGACAATCTTTAATTACCAGAGTTTGCAATTTCGGGAAAATATAAAGAGGGAAAGACTCCAAGCTCTTACAAGATTGAATATACAATGCTTCAAGAGAAGTGAATAGTGTTTCTGCCCCGCTGACCAAATGCTTCATATTTTCACAATTATATAAACCCAAAACTTGAAGATGATTCAAGCTTGCAAATTCATCCAGTGACAGAAAAAGTTGTTTTGTGGTTATATACAGTTTTCGAAGGCTTGTCAACTTCCCGAATCCTTCGGGCAATGTTTCAAGTTCCGTGCATCCAACGAGGGACAAAACTTGCAAACTCTGGAGTTTGAAAATAGAGCGCGGAAGTGTTTTAATTTGGTGGTTATCTCTAATATAGAGAACACACAGGTGCTTCAATTTGGCAATTGAGGTTGGCAAAGTCTGAAATGAAGAACTACTTAAATCTAAGTATAGTAAGTATTTGTATCTTAATATCCATGTGTGCAAACGATCTTTACTTTTAAGACCCACTCCTTGAACAGGATACAGTATAGTTCTCACTCTTTTGGACTCCGGAATCAAACTAGAGTCAAGTAAAACATTTTCTAAAATTGATAAATGCCTTGCTTTCTCTGGTATAGTTTGAGTGTTCGAGCTTACCAATACAAAGTAGTCTCTCACAACATGTATTGCAAGATCATGTATCAAATCATGTACTTTGAACTTGTAATAGTAGCCATAGTCTTTGAAATCCTCAAGAAATGATCGTGAATTTAACTCGTCTATATATTCTCTTAGAATACTCTCTATCTTTTCACTTCCATTTCGAGGTTGAACTAACCCAAGGGCTGCGAAAAGATTTATAATTTCATCACTATTGAAGGTAAAACCTTTGGGATAAAGGGAAAAAAAAGCAAAACATTGCTTCAAATAAGATGGCATTTGATCATAGCTTAATTGTAATGCTGATAGGATATCACCTTTCTTCATTTCTGAGTTCCATAGCCCATGGTCTCTTACAAATTCCCACTTGTGCAAATCAAAGTTTGAAAACAAAGAACTTCCTAATGTTCTCACGGCTAGTGGAACCCCTGCACATTTTTCCACAAGCTCTTTTCCGATCTCCACTAGATTTGGATACTTTTCTTCTTTTCCTTCCCTGAAAGCCCATTTGACAAACAGAGATAAACATTTCTCTCTATCAAGACCTTCTAAAACATAATAGGGACCCATCATCGAAGCAACTGACTTGTTCCGTGTTGTCACCATGATTTTACTTTTAGATGTACCAACTTGTAACAAAGCTATCAACTCAATCCATTTTTCTTGCGCAACATTCCATATATCATCTAACACAAGTAAAAACGTCTTACCAGAAAGTTTTCGCCTCAGATCAATTTGTAGCTGCTCAATATCTAAGTGGTCTATATTCTTCTGGTGAGCAGAACTTGAAGCAGTAGAGGCAGCAGAAGCTGAGTTGATGACTTTAATAACAATCTTCCTGAGGTCAAAATCTTCAGAGACACTCACCCACATCTTTAATTGGAAAAGTTGATCAATCCTCTGATCATTGAACAAGAATTTTGCAAGTGTGGTCTTTCCCAAGCCTCCAATACCCACAATGGGAATAACACATAGGCTTTTATCACCAACAGTGTGAGGATGAGGTGGCTTCAAGAGCTTGATAATTGCTTCCTTGTCTTTCTCCCTCCCAATTACACTTGAAATATCAACATGTGAATGAGTCATTTCTCTACTTTGCACAGCAAGTCTGGGCTCAACATCGATTGTCACAAGTGCAAACCTGGCTCCATCGGCTGCAGCCTTATTCAATCTGCCTCTAATATCTTTAATCTGATGTGCCATCCTAAAACGGAAAGCAAGTGGATTAGAGGAAGAAACATAGCGGCGCACCTTCCTCCTTGTGCTGCCGGAATCTTCAACATCTTGTTTTAGCTTGAGTTGCAAACGAAATTCGTCCAAAACATCATCAGCATCATCGCAAATGTCTTGAATCTGCCTTAGCCATTCACGCAAAGCAGGTCGTTGGTTTTTCTTCTCCTCCGCATCCAACAAAAGACTTCTGATAATTGATAGAGTATCTTTGATCCCTTGAAGATCATCATACACGTAACAGGCACGAGCAACTTCTTCAAGAGCAAAAGAAGTGAGCTTCCCTAACAGCGAATTAGCAACATCAAACAAAAAAGTTTCCGCCATGTGAATGTTAACTAGAATAGTGTAGCAAAAATGGAGTTGGGATGTAATTATGCTTTCATATCCATACTTGGTTGGTTATTTATACCCAAGTCAACTTACACAGGTTGTCAGTCTTGCCTAGTCTACCAAGTTATTTTATTCATGGGGGAACCAATGCAATAATACTAGTTGTTGTTTTGCAATGTAACAAACAACTAACAAGTTGTTATTCTTAGAAGAAAGTAAGAACTGTTTTTTAGTAAAAGAAAAGTACACAAGCTCGCATCAGTCAAATAAGCATCAGCACGACAAGTTTGAAGTTTCCAAAGATTGGTGGCATTGACTTCGTGTGGAAGAGCAAACCCGTGACACTGATGAATGTGATTGGATGATGTAAGCTACACTGCCCCTCTAAAACCAAGGCACTCTTGGGATGGTCTCATTTGAGTTTATGTACCGCCCCGCCCGTTAATTATTTGTAACACTCACTCTTTGGAAAGCTTATGAAAAGCTATTTTCATAAGCTCTTTGTAATAGCTTAAAAAAACTAATTATAACTCACTTCAAAACAGATTGACTTTATTTATTTATTTGTTATAGAAATAGTTTAAACATATGGGTGACTTTTGAACAAACAAAGTATTTGCAGCTTATAGCCTAAGCTATTTCTATAATAAATTATCAAATAATTTTTTTATCTTGTCATACTCCAATTTTGTCCGAACAATTTACTATTTTTGGATCGTATCAGCATAAGCAATCAAGTTTCATCATAAGGGGATCCGAGACCGAACAAAACCGAGCGGCCGCAGCACCCACAGAATACTCTCTTTTCCTCAACCAACAACCCTCTATATGCTCATCACCAAACCGTAAAACTTCTTCAACAAACCTTCAGATCTACGCTTCCAACAACCAAAACTCCAGTGCCACGAAGTAACACCCTCAAGATAGGAAACCGGTCTTCACTTTCCATCGACAACTTGTCGAATTTTTTTTCAGTAACATATCTTTTTCTTTACTCTATCATTGTTATGTTTTGCTTTTGATTTGTGTTGACAACTTGATTTATTTTGGCTTCATGAGTAGTGTTTTTTGTAGTATGCATGTCTCAAGTTTTGTTTAGTCTGTATTGTAATTGTTGTGTAGTTATGCTGCACGATTTTGTTAAGTTTCATTAGAAGTTGTAATATTATGGCCATGTTCGTTGGAGAGATACAAAGCACTAGGATAACAAATCCAAGCTAAACCACCACACTTATTTATTGTTTCCATTTGCAATATATTAGTTTTCTTTACCCTGCCATTGAGATCACGATCTAAAGACAATAGAAATGCAAGTTGTCGTTGTTGTTCTGTTAGAAAATTGATTTATGTGCCATTGAGATCACGATCTAAAGACAATAGAAATGCAAGTTGTCGTTGTTGTTCCGTTAGAAAATTGATTTATGTTTATATGTATGCAAGTTTTTCTCTATATAGTAAAGGGGTGGACCATGTTTTTTTTCTTTCTTTTCCACTTATTATTATTATTAATAATAATAATAATAATAATAATAATAATAATATTTTATAAGTTTGAGATTCAAGATGACGAGCACCTTTAGAATATGTTTTACAATAATGAGTATTCTGGGTACGATTCTATTGAGTTGTATATTATACTGCGAGAATCTCAGCTGTCACAAGTGGTTGATCCTCTGGAGACCGAACAAGCAGAAGTAGATGTCGTTGACGAAGAAGAAGATGACGAGTTGGAGTTTGACGACATGGTCAACGATGATTCCGAAGACGATGGGATACCTGGTATACCTTCAAATGAGATCTACACACCACCTCCGCACATGACAAACTTCAACATGGGCGGAGATTAACCGTCATCTTATTTATTTTTCAATTCGTATATGCAGTCGGATGAAAACTTAAAAGAGAAAGACAAATTTCGTAATAGAGAAGAATGTATTCGAGCCATAAAAAAATTATACATACTCAACTCGGTCAATTTTAAGGTGGATCGTGTAAATCCAGAAAGGTACAAGATCAAATGTATTCAAGCTCACTGTATCATACAAATTAAGAGGTGATTATTGGGTCATAAGTTCTATGTCCACCCACACGTGTGTCAGTTCTACTCAATCACATGATCATCAGAAGCTAAATTATGATCTCATATGTGAAGAAATCTTACCCCTCGTCAGCAACGATCCATCATTGAAGGTGAAAAACATAATCCCCACATCACTATGGTATTTAACTATACTCCGTCTTACCGAAAGTCGTGGTTAGCAAAGACCAAGGCGATTGAAAAGATATAAACATAATCTTCCACATCACTACGGTATTTAACTATACTCCGTCTTACCGAAAGGCGTGGTTAGCAAAGACCAAGGCGATTGAAAAGATATATGGAAACTGGGAGGAGTCATACAAAGAACTTTCTCGTTACCTAAATGTACTTCAGACTTATTCTCCAGGTATTGTTTATATTCTGGAAACACTGTCAGCGTACTCACCAGAAATGGAATATTCAGTCGAGTGTTTTGGGCTTTTCAACCTTGCATCACAGGGTTTACATCATGCAAACCAATTATACAAATTGATGGGATTTGGTTGTATGGGAAATACAAAAGCACGCTACTGATGGCAGTTGCATAAGATGGCAACAACAATATTTTCCCAATTGTCTTTGCCCTAGTCGAGGGAGAGACTGGTGGTTCTTGGAGCTTCTTTCTCAAGAATCTACGAATACACGTGGCTCCTCAACCAGATCTTTGTTTGATCTCTGATAGACATGCATATATTGAAAGTGCATACAACAATCCTGCAAACGGTTGACATAATCCTTCTTCTACGCATATCTATTGCATGAGACATATCGTCCAAAATTTCATGAGGGAGATCAAAGACAAAGCTCTTAGGAAAGCGGTTATGAATGCAGGATATGCATTGACACAACCTACGTTCAAATATTATCGCAACGAGATCCATTTGTCAAATCCGGATGCCGGTAGGTGGATCGATAATATTCCGGTAGAAAAATGGATTAGTTCATACGACAATGGACAAAGATGGGTCACATAACAACAAATCTAATTGAATCCATGAACGGGGTATTCAAAGACATATGAAACCTCCTAGTAATTGCTTTGGTTAAATCAACATATTTTAGAATGGCTTCGTTGTTTTCCAAAATAGGTGAAATATGGAATATTGTGTTGCAATCTGGACAACTATGGAGTGAAATCTGCATGAAGTATATTAAGACAGAAAGTGCCAAAGCCAACACCCATCTGGTTATACGGTTCGACCGACACAGCCACAACTTCATTTTCAAAGAGACAATCGACCATAACGAGGGTAAGACAAGAGTATAGGGTTATACTACCTTCTCGTTGGTGCGATTGTGGCAAGTTTTAAGTCTTTCGTATGCCTTGCTCTCAAGTCATTGATGCGTGTGTCTGTACTCATCAAGACGCGCTACAACTTCTGTCTCCCATTTACAAATCTGAAACCTTGCTCAACGTATACAACAACAACTTTCTTTTGGTAGCAAAACCTGATTATTGGCCTGCATACGACAGCAAAATAGTATGACACAATGACCAAATGCGAAGGAATAAAAAGGGTCGTCCCAAAAGTAAGCGCATCACAACTGAAATGGACTCCCTTGACAAGCTGGAAAGAAAATATGGTTTATGTCGTCAAGTCAGACACAATCACAAAAATTATCCGACTCGGGCTACTGGCTCAACACATAAAAATTGTATTACAAAACATCTTTACTTTTTTAAGTTGTAAACATTAGGGTTTTTCATTAACAACATTTGTTACAATAAACCTTGCGCGAACAAGAAATAAAACACTATAAATCGTCTACGAAATTACAACCATTAAAACAATTTCATCTAACTCATGCATCATCAACATTACGTCGCTGTCTGTTTTGACTTACTCCAACCAAAAATTAGGTCATCCTGTCGCAAGTGAGGTTGTTGTTCTTCTTTCGCTGGATCCTTCTAATTTGTTCCCCATCTTCGATGTCTCCCTCTAGCCATCACATCAACTCCCTCTTCAGACGCTCCATGGAGTGAATATGTCAGAATTTCATTTTCATCGGAGATTTTGTGACCGAGAAAATAACGTAACCATCTCTGGTAAAAATCATTGGCGATCCCATAACGCAAATAACCGAGAAAAAAAATAAGAGGACAGTGCGAGAAAGTGTGATGAATGGCGGAGAAACGAACAAATTATTTATAAAAAATGCATTTTGCCCAATGAGCCAAGTGAGATGGCGCCTCCTCTCACTTTTAAAGTGCATGCGCCATCTCACTTGGCTAAATGAGAGAGCATGCGCCAAGTGGGATGGCGCTTAGGACAAAATGCTAAGTGCATGTGCCAACTGGGTTGACTTCTCCCTTGTAGAGTTTTCTGAAACATGATTATTTGTGTAATTTTCTCCGAAACATGATTATTTGCGATTTTTTTTTATATCGAGTTATTCCAAAAGAAATTCACATTTTTACTCATCAGCAAATGTCATTTTATTTAAGAAAGGGATCAAGGCCAGGTGCAATTTATAGTAACAGGGAGTAGTGGTTTTGCGGATAGGAGAGTAAAGCAGTATGCATACCTCATTGTCCATGAAATTAAGGTAGCCTTCTCCACCTAATGCTTGGGTTATGAAGTGTATCATCGGCAAAAGATTAAAATAACAATGAGTACAAAGCAAAAATAAATTGTATTGTATTAGCAGCTTCACAATTCAATTTCTACTTTTGTACACATCTGCTGGCAATGCTTTTAGGGGTTCTGTAACTTTGTTGTGTCATTTGGTGCGAATCTGGTTTTTGCTTTGGAAGAGCCTCAAGCCTCAATTCATTCCAAAGAAATTTGATAATAGTCTTTTTAATCCGGCCACAACAGGATTTAAGGGCAAGTTCCAATCCTTGTATAATGACTTCATATAATAACCGTCATTCTATTGTAATATGATAGGTTGAGCATGGTCCAATTGTTGC